CTATCTCTTTTTGTGATTTCCTTGATTGGCTCTGTCATAAATCCTGTGAAATCATGTACATCTGGACATAGTTTTCTTCAGCAGAAATTTATCGTTTTAGGATTACAGACTTGCATGATGTTCTTCTCTATGATGGCTCTCTACCATAGCGTTAACAATCCTTTCTGTAGAGTACCATGTGCTTTGTGATGAGCCTTAAAAATCCTTATGAGTGGCGAGGCACAGTGGCTTACACCTGTAATCCTAGCACTTTGGGAGACTAAGGCGGGAGGATCGCTTGAGCTCAGGAGTTCAAGACCAGCCCAGGCAACACACTGAGACTTCATGTCTATAAAAAATTTATTAAAAAAAAAAAAAAAAAAAAAAAGATTCGTATAACCCTCTCATCTAAAGGCTGAATTAGAGACATGTTTGGGAGGCAAGCAGACCACTTCAATACTTTTGATATTAAACTCGTGAGTTCTGGGTGGCCGGGATCATTGTCTAATATCAAAAGAACTTTAAAAGGCAGTCCCTTACTGTCTAGGTACTTCCTGACTTCAACGACAAAGCATCAATGTAACCAATCCGGAAAAAGGGCTCTCATTGTCCACGCCTTCTTTTTGTACAATCAAAAGACTGGCAGCTGAGGCTTATCTTTTCCCTTCAAGGATCAGGGATGAGCAGTTTTACACATAAGGGCATATCTCTACATATGGACTCATCCTAAACCTGACTGTATTTACACGAAACAGCAGAGTTAGTCTATTCCTTTCTGACGTAAATCCTTGGACTTGCTTTTCCTCCTTATTAATAAAAGTCCTTGGTGGCATTTTTTTTTTTTTTAAATAGGGCACTTTCCACTGCATTAAATACCTTATCAGGCAGATATTCTTTCTTCTCAATGATTTTTTTAAAATAGCATCTAGGAACATTTCTACTGCCTCTTGATTGGCAGAAGTTGCTTCTCCTGCTATCTTGACATTTTTTTAAAGCCAAATCTCTTTCTAAAATTATCAAACCATCCTTTGCTGGCATTAAATTATCCAGCTCTAGATCCTTCATCTTACTTTTAATTTGAATTGACTTTGCTTTTCCTCTAATCATATTAGAGTCTACAGGTATGCCTTTCTTACAGCAATCCTGCACCCATGTAAAAGCTGCATTTTCAATATGAGATAAAGGTATTGTACAAAAAGTGCAAGGTTTTTGCACCTGCTGTTGTAGCTGCAGTGATGGCTTTTATGAATTTTGTTTTTTTGTTGTTGTTGTTGTTTGTTTTACAATGGTTCTTATGCTAGATTCATTTATCTTGAAATGGCAGGCAACTAACTGCAGCTGCAGACCTCACATCTATAGTACACATCAAGCAGTTCAACTTTTTCCTGTAATGTCATGACTTTTCTCTGTTTATTGGGAGCACTTCCAGCATCACTAGTGGTACTTCATATGGGTTCCCTGGTATTATTTAGTGTTTATGATATTGCACTAATCATGAGTTTTAAAATATGCAAGAACCATGAGAGATCACTTTTTACTGCAATATGCAATTTACTGGAGAGAGGAACTGCTCCTGCTGAGATGATTAGTGTCACTGCATTTTAAGCAGATACAACACTTGAGCTCACTGCAGTAGCAGCAGGAAGTGGCTACAAAATTACTGGGGTAGTACAGTACATACTATGTTTTTACTTTATGATTTAACACTATGTATTAGTCTGTTCTCACGCTGCTAATAAAGACATACCTGAGATTGGGTAATTTATAAAGGAAAGAGGTTTTAGTGGACTCACAGTTCCACATAGCTGGGGAGGCCTCACAATCATGGCGGAAGATGAAGGAAGAGCAGAGGGACATCTCACATGGCAGCAGGCAAGACAGCATATGCAGGGGAAATCCCCTTTATAAAATCATTAGATCTCATGAGACTTATTCATTATCATGAGAATAGCATGGGAAAAACCCACCCCCATGATTCAATTACCTCCCACTGGGTCCCTCCCATAACATGTGAGGATTATTACAATTGGAGGTGAGATTTGGATGAGGACACACAGCCAAAGCATGTCACACTGTATCTTTACAGTTGTTGACATGTGTCTTAACTGTGAATGATGCCATATATGGTCTGTAAGTGTTTGTGTGGATAAAATTTGATCATTTTTAACTTTTTAAATAATAAGTTTGTGTATATCTTATGGTAGTAAATGATAAGACTAGTAACTATATATATTTTATGCATTTATAATATGCTTAACTTTTTCTTAATTTTTTGATATTTCTAGGCTACATGGCTTGTGAGTTTTTTCAAATTGTTGCAAATCTTCAAAAAATTTTCCAATACATTTATTGAAAACAAACTACATATAAGTGGACCCACTCAGTTCAAACCTGTGCTGTTCAAGGGTCACCTGCATTTTATAGAAATGCTTACTAGTCCACAATAATGTGCTGAAAAACTACAGAGCACAGATCACAGGCAGGGTAGAGGTTATGAGCAGATTTTGACCTCATGCAGTCAGAATAAGAGTGGGCTCTAATGTCGTATACACCATTAATCAATAAACAAATCATACACCATTAACCAATAAACAAATAAATAGGAAAGAAACATCAAGGGCTGACAAGTATCATGAATTAATTCAGGTGTCAGGAATGGCCTCTCTGAAAAGGTAATAATTTTAGGGTATGAATAATGTAAAGTCAGCCAAGAGAAGATCAGAGGCAATCAGCTTAAAACGTTCCAGGAATTGCAAGAATGTCCACTGGGCCAGGGCACGCAGGCATAAGAGACCGTGATGCCAGATAAGGTCATAAAGGTCATCAGGAGTTCAATCATACAGAGTTTGATAATCCATGATGAAAGATTAGATTTTGTTCCAAGTATGATAAGAAGCCATTTGGGACTCTGAAGTAAGGGTTGACATTATCAGATTTGTATTTATGAGAGATCAGAATGACTTCTGTAAGAATGTAGAATATAGTTGGACAAGAATGGAAGGAGTAGAAGCAGGGAGATTGGTTAGGAGGCTGTTGCTGTGTGACTGTGAGCAAGTTACTTGATCTCTCTGAATCTTGGATTTCATTATCTATCCAACAGGGAGAGTTCAACAGGGTTATTGAGAGCATTAAATTAGATCATGTATTTAGAGCTGTTAGTATGATACTTGTTATATAAGAAGTACTAAACAGCAGCTTGAGAATTGTGATCAGGTGGAAGTTGATTTTCAATATTATGTGGACTGGTTGGTGCAGAATCACTACTTTCCCTACCTACTTCCGCCCCTCTCATGAGCCACCCCTGAATTAGAACATGTATCACATCCCTGACCTTTACTCTGAAAATCTGCCATATCCACACATAATTCATTTCCATCTGTCCCCTTCCTTTGGTCCCCCTGACAGGACTCCAAGAGTCTTAAATCTCATTGTCACTTCAAAGGTGCTAACCTGTGGTTTGCATGAATTAGCTTGGGATCAGATTGGATCATCTTCTTCCTAAAAGCAATCTAAGACTCCCCACTGGGACATTTCAAATACCTCACTGTTAACTAGAATACTTTCTCCTTTTTTTGTATTTTGTCCTAGATTTTTCCATCTTCTCAGGGGAAGAGTCAACACCATGGGGGAGATCCCCAAAGTATAGTATTAAATGGAGTCATTGGCACAGAATGTATTCCCCAGCAGGGGCCAATGTTACTTGAGCCAGACCACAATAGACCCCTGTGGGTCAACACCATCCTGATGTACCTCCAGAAATGGGCCTCTGGGAGCCTGATAGGATGCCTGACATGAAGTTTGATCCCTACAGACACTGGCTGGGGAGGCACTACAGCTGGGCCAAAAGATTTTCCAGAGAGAACCCCCCAAAAATGGGATAGTCTGAAGAGATAGCAAAGAGGTAAAGGATAAAGCATTAGTGGCAATGACCAACATCTGGGGCCTTCCTCATCATTCACTTGGTGAGGTAGCTGGGCCTACTGACAACCAGAGCCACTCTGATCTGTGTGAGTCCACTCTGATCTGTGTGAGTCCCTGCCCTAACTCCTGGGAACCTCAGAACGTTCATCACACATATATCCCTGTCCTAAATGTTAGTTATGGCAGTCCGCCCTGCTCTGACCTCTCATTTCCACTATGATACAGGTCATGTGATATCAGACTGCGTTCTGCCATCAGAGGAACTCTTCATTTTATAACAGAAAGAGAAACAACTTTGGAGCACAACTGTCTGAGTTTGAATTCTGGCTCCAAGATCTATCAGCTCTAAAGTCCAGAGCCATGACCTGCCTGTGTGTGCCTCTGCCCCACCAGAAAAATGAGATAATAGACCCCATATGGTTGCTATAAGGAGTAAGACATTTGCCAGGAAACACAGTAAATGCCACATAAGCATTTGTTAAATAATGGGAAAAAATAGACAAGCATGCAGGGGGAAAAAACAAGAAGTAAAAAAAGGGTAAAGATAAATAGAAATAAGATGAAGAGAGGAGCACGATAAAAAAAAGAAAGAGTGGTAGTAATTTAAAACAGATATAATAAATACCCCTAGGGTTTTTCCATATTTAATCTCCCCCCTTACATGTACAAATAAAATGGGTTTACTTTCCTTAATAAAGGAATGGATTTAACTTTGAAAGAAAAGAAAGAAAAGAAGAAGGGAAGGAAGGAAAAAAGGAAAGAAGGAAGGAAGGAGTGGAGAGAGAGTGAAAGTGAGAGAAAAGAAAGAAGAAAATAACTAAGGGAACGAGGAAAGTGAGTAGGAAGGAAGAACAGTGTGAAAACAAAGGCCTGAAAATTGAAAAAGTTTGTTAAAGTTAATTATCAGTTTTTGAGTCCAAGAACTGGCTTTGCTACTTTCTGTAAGTTTCTAATTTACTGAATAAGCATAAAAAAGATTGCTTTGAGGAATGGTTATAAACACATTCTTAGAGCATAGTAAGCAGCAGGGAGTAACAAAACACCACTGATTAGAATATTTTACTCTACTTGAGTAATCAATCACATTTAGTTTGACTCACCTTCCCAGCACCTTCTAGTTCTTTCTTATCTTTCAGAGCTTGTCCAGACAACATTTTCATTTCAACAACTCCTGCTATTGCAATGATGGGTACAATTGCTAAGAGTAACAGTGTCAGTTGCCAACCATAGATTAAGGATATAATTATTCCTGTCCCAAGATTTGCTATATTCTGGGTAATTACAGCAAGCCTGGAACCTATAGCCTGCAAAACAAAACATATTAGAGAAACTTTAAAAATATTATCTTCACAACTCATGCTTCTATTTTCTGAAAACTCACCTTCATGAGACTATCTTCATTATTTTCTCAGTAATGAACTAAAAAGTAAAGGTTTACTTATAAGTTTATTGAGTTTCTACAGTAAGAATTTCCATGACTTCAGAATGCTGAAAGTAGAATATCAACAATCTAGAGTTCAATTACATATTCCTATTTCTTCGGATCTTTTAATACCAAGAAAACCTTCGTTAATCACAGCAACATTACTAAAGCAATCCCTGCAAATCAGCAAGATAAAGGAGTCTGACAAACTGGGAATTATGGAAATTTCCAATGTTAGGTATATAATTACTTATAATTTAAGCCTAATATTTATCATTAATAATATTCAAATATATCTGGGTCTGTTTGAGATATAATGTTTAATTTGGAAAAAATACAGAGTTGAAAATTATGGAATTTAATTTAAGATAATAAGTGGGCATTATTGTCTTCCCCTTGAATTCCAGAGGGAGTCTGAAGCATGACTTTCATTAGTGTGTGCTGATTTCCAGCTCTAAAGTCAGAAGTCAAACTACAAAGTGAATTTAATCCACCACTGTATAAAGTCCAACTGTAAACCAGATTTCCAACTCTGAAACCAAAAGTCAAGCTACAAAGTCAGTTTAGTCCATCACTCTATAATTTAGTCCAACACATCTCCTCTACCCTGGAAATATTCTGTGCCCTCAAGCCATTCCAAATGCCTGCTCTGGCCCCAGACCTGCTTTTTCTGAATAGGGGCTGGGTAAAATAAGGCTGAGACCTACCAGGCTACATTCCCAGGGGGTTAGACATTCTAAGTCACAGGATGTGACAGGAGGTCAGCACAAGATACAGGTCACTAAGATCTTGCTGATAAAACAAGCTGTGGTAAAGAAGTCAGCCAAATCCTACCAAAAATCAAGATGGTGACAAAAGTGACCTCTGGTTGTTCTCACTGCTCATTATACGTGAATTATAATACATTAGCATGCTCAAAGACACTCATACCAGTGCCATGACAGTTTACAAATGCCATGGCAATGTTACCCTATATGATCTAAAAAGGGGAAGAACTCTCAGTTCTGGGAAGAGCCCACTCCTTTTTCTAGGAAACTCATGAATAATCCACCCCTTGTTTAGCAGGTAATCAAGAAGTAACAATAATAAGTATAAGCAGCTAAGCATCCCATGCTGCTGTTCTGCCTATGGAGTAGCCATTCTTTATTTTTTCACTTTCTTAATAAACTTGCCTTCACTTTATGGATTCGCCTTGAATTCTTTCTTGCACAAGATCCACGAACCCTCTTTCAGGGTCTGCATTGGGATCCCTTTCTGGTAGCAATAGAATCCTTTATAATTCCCTACACTAATCCCTACAAAATTATTTAACACCTGTCTGATATAAACACCAGAATTGTACTTAGGAAAAGAGTGCTGTAACTATCAGTAGCCTTTAAATACATTAAATTCCATACCATGGAGCTGCACCAGGGCTGAAAGAGATATCATAAATAATATAACACCTGTATATTTAGTTGATGCAATCACTGAGCTTATATTAAAGGGATGATTTGCCAAATTTGGGATAAATCAGACTAGAATGGTTTTCAAAGCCAGCTCTCTGCATTTCACATCTGTAGTTTGAAGGTCAAAGGATGCAAGCTGGAGAAGGGCTGTGCCACAGGGATGATATAGGTTGCTCCTGTTCTCAGTATCTACAAGTTCTACTCAGAGCTCATTTCCCACCACAGCTACTGACTTATGTGCTTGTGAGAGAAGCTCTTAGAATATCACCTACAATCACTTCTCGGTGTGAGTTCATGGCAGAGGAATTACCCGGCTATATAACCTTTCAGACATATAAATGTGCAGCTTTGGATAGTAGTGAAGGGCTACAGAAATAAATAAGATGGATTAAAGATGGCAAATTCTTTAATGTACCAAAAAGAGTAACTAAAAAGTCTAAGACCTTAAACCGCAAGGAGATTTAACTCCTCAGCTTCATTTGATTTAGCACTTCAGACATTACACTGGTTACTGTTTCTTTATTCTGAAGATTAACACTCACTGTCCTACATCTATTCCTATAGAGTAGGAGTCTATAGAAATATGAGGACTAAGATGAACGGAAGAGCACAGCTTAGTAGCCAGAAAATTTTCATTGTAAAGACTAGGGTTGAGGGGAGGAACCAAAACCTATCAGCCAAAAACAGATCAGTTAGTGGTATAAAGTAGATCCAACAGTCCTCTCTCAGCCAATCTGTGATAACAGCTACACTGGGCTTTCCTAAGTTGACAGTGTTTGCCAACCTGCTCATTTCCTCTTCCCTGGTCTTTCCTTTTTAGCCCTGTTCTAAGTTCTGGAAAATAGTTTTGCCTGAGTGGCTCACATAAGGTGAGTGCAGCCATCTTGGCAGGGCCATGGAAGTGCCAGTTCGAGGTGTCTTTGGGGAAAAAAGTGAAAAGCAGAAGGTTGACCCCAGCAGGCAATTAGAGACAGTGAATATGGCAAAGGGCCTCACAAACAGCTCTGTGGAGGGAAAAAGTGACCACCAATTTTACAAATATGGGAACTCACTGTGGCCTAAGGCAGGTCATAACACCAGAGGAATTTGAGAGGAAGGAAGAAAAACTGCAATACAGAATGCCCTGAATACATCTGCTCCGGGTTCCGCTGCAAAAGACTGAGTTGCCTCCAGGATTGTGTCTTCCACGTCAAATGTGATGCGGGATGTTTGTCCATCAAGGCACATGAGCCCATACCACAGGATCTGTGTCATACTGTGCAATGTCACATTGCACTGGTTACTGTTCCTTTATTCCAGAGACTAATGCTCACTGTCCTACATATATTCCTCCTACAGAGTAGGAGTCTATACAGTTCTGAGGACCAGAATGAATGCAGCAGCACAGTAAAACTTATTTGGTAAACCAATTATAGAAAAGGTTTACTAAAGTTAGCAGTGCAAAGTTTAGCCTTCTTGATATCTACACATGGATGTCTAATACAGACATCACAAACTTACCATGTCTCATACAGAACTCTCCATTCTCCCCCAAGCCTGCTTCTCCAACAGGCTTCTGAATTTCATAAAGATCAACTCCAGCGGGGCATGGCAGCTCACACCTGTAATCTCAACACTTTGGGAGGCTGAGGCAAGAGGATCGCTTGAGCCCAGGAGTTCAAGACCAGACTGGGCAGCATAGGGAGACCCTGTCTCTACAAAAGATTTAAAAATTAGCAGGACATGGTGGTGCACACCTGTGGTCCTAGCTAGCAGGAAGGCTGGAGAAGGGAGGATTGCTTGAGCCCATGAGTTCTAGCTTATAGTGAGCTATAATAACACCACTGTAGTCTGGCCTGGGCTACAAAGAGAGTAGCCCAGGGCTACTCTCTTTAAAAAAAACAAAAACTCAACTCCATTTTTCTCCATTGTGCAGGTAAAAAATAATTGGAGTCATCTTTAAATTCCCTTTATCTCATATCCATCATCTAATCCAACCAATACATTCTATTGGCTGTACATCTAAAATATATCCAGAATTAATTATATCTTAAAATTTTGTATAACCTTTTGTATAACCACATTAGTCTAAAACACTATCATCTCTGTCCTGGATTACTGCAACAGCCTCCTTCTATGCTTGCCCCTTTTGGCCTATTCACACTGTTTCTTCTTTTCACTCACTTTATTCCAGCTACTTTGTCTTCTTTTCTTTTCTTTTCTTTTCTTTTCTTTTCTTTTCTTTTCTTTTTTTTTTTTTTTTTTTTTTTTTTTTTTTTTTTTTTTTTTTTTTTTGAGACATAGTCTTGCTCTGTCACCCAGGCTGGAGTGCAGTGGTGCGATCTCAGCTCTACAACCTCCACCTCCTGAGTTCAAGCAATTCTCATGCCTCAGCCTTCCAAGTAGCTGGGATTACAGGCATGCACCTGTAATTACATTCTATACAACTTGATCTAAATCCTGATTTTTATTGTTTTGTTTGCTTTAAGCAAAGAAGTTTGTATTAAAACAACAATTACAAAGAGGAGCTGGTACCATTCCTTCTGAAACTATTCCAAACAACAGAAAAAGAGGGACTCCTAAGGTTTATATTTCAATGTTATAACTCTATGTGTTTCCTCATTCATAGCTTAATTTATTCTTAAAGAAGCCCTATATATTAGATAGAAGAAATGTTAGTATAGTACTATCTTCCAGAAAGATTTAAAGATAAAGATGGATAAGGTTCAAGAGGGGAAAAGACACACCAGAGATCACATGAATTTTTTCAAATTCTACATCATTTTGTGGACTTTTGCCATAAACAGTTGTAGAAGAAATTGTCACTTCAGCCAAAAATCAAAACCTGCTGGTTCAATAGTATCTAGTTATATCAAGAGATTCATACAGTAGCAAAATTTATTACAATTATTAAAGTTTAAAGTTATTAAAGATAAAGACTAAAGTTATTCTATCCTTGCTTTAACTTTTTAATGTGCTTTTCATTTCTTTCAATCTATATTTTAGAGGACTGTCTTCCCTCCCTTCTGTAACCACAGTGACCCTAAACTTTCTTACAGCAATTAAATACATCCTTTCTTCAGGAGCAATTACTGTTTTATGTTGATTGAGCACTTTACACTCTCTTTTCTAAATAATGATTCTTCATGCATCTTGTTAATAGCATGAATAATAGCAATAGCAAAAGGTTTATAAGTTATCTATATGCTCTACAGTATATAATGTTTAAATAGTTAACATGTTGCTATAAAAAGCATGTGATATGTTCGTAGGTTAGATATCTATCCAACATTTTCTTAATGATGATAACTAACACCTGTAAGGAGAAAATTAGTTTTATGCTGGGGTCCAAAATGGCCAATTAAGATAAACACCAGTAGAAAGGAGGCACGTACCCCTTTAACTTGAGCAGCATCATTGGCGAGCCTGGTAGTCAATGCTCCAGTGGTGTTTTTAGGGTCATCAAACCAGCTCACATCCTGTGGCACAGAAAATGATTTTATTATCTTAAAGCTCTGTTTATGAGACTCTCTGCTCCAAGAGGGCAGCAACAGGGTCAGTTTTGTTTATACTTATATCCCCGGCATTTAGCACTCAGGATGCGACATTCAATACACAAGAAAGAAACTTAATATAAAAACACATAAATAGATCATTTCATTTGTCACAAAAATTTCTGAGTGCCTACTTTGTCCTGTGCATGATTTCTAAGTGTTGGACCTGTACAAACAAAAAAGACAAAGTAGTTGCTTTTGTGAAGCTTAGATTCTAGAGATGGAAGGTACAAATAAAAGAAAAATTGAGCAGGGTAAGAAGAACAGAAAAGTGAGGGGAGGTGCCATTTTAGTGACTGGGGAGGGGAAAGAGAAGGCCTGTCTAAGGGGACATCTGAACAGAGGCCTGAATGAAGGAAAGGATGAGAATACCTCAGGAAAAGCAGAAAGAGCATGTGCAAAGGCCCTGAGGCAAAGGCTTACCTGATCTGTTCATACACCAGCAAGAAAGCTTTAAAGGCTGCCAGCAGCCTAAAAAGAACTTTTGTGTGAGTTTGTAAAAGCCTCCCCTTCCTCTGGACAGATTTGTGTTCTCATTTGGCTCCTCTGATCTTCCCCTCTCCTACTCTTGGGCAGTGAGCCACTGTGTATGAAATAGATGTTGTGTTGGAAAAGGTGGTTGTAGGAGACGAGATTTGAGAGACAGTGGGGGCCACATAGTGTGTGGCCTTATGGGCAACTGTCAGGATTCCAGATCTTATCCTGTGAGCTACGGGCAGCCTTCAGCAGGTTTGGGCAGTGGGATATGACTTGATTTCTATTTTAGAAAAATGACTCTGGCTGTTTTAAGGTGAACCTACCAGATTGGGATAAGAATGGAGGCAGGGAGATCAGCTAGGAAGCTTCTGCAATGTTGATAGAAAGAGAAGAGTCAAAGATGGCTTCAAGGTTTTTAGCCCAAACAACTGGTAGAATGGAGATGTTGCTTACTGATATGGGGGAAGAGGGAGTAAGGAATAAGTCTGGTGGGGAGGAGAAGAGTCAAAAGCTCAATTTTGGAAATGTTAAACAGTGAAACCCTTATTAGATATCCAATAGAGAGGTTGAACAAGCAGTTAGATAAATGTAGCTCAGGGCAGTACAAATGATTTGAGTCAAAAAGAAATCAACAAAAGTAATCCAGATTAAAATATAACATTCAACATAAAATAAGATTTTCTTTGTAAAACCATTTACATTTTTAAATACACAGATACTAACATGATTGTGAATTTGAAGTATGAATTTATGTGTTTTACAAATAACAGTGGTCCCTAAGAAGTTATCTAAACTGGTTATTTACATTAAAGAAGTATCTATCACTTTTCCCAAAAATATTTAAGAAAAAAAAGTGCTATAATTTATTATAGTATGTATCAACTTGCTTTTCAATATTCTTAAGTGGTTAAAAGTGTCTCTGCACAGGAATGTAACGTCCTTGAACACAGGGACCATTCAGGTTTGAATGCCTTACAATACTAAGTACTAGACCTTGTAAGCAGAAGGCACTTAATAAATGCTTGCTCTACTTAACAATTTATGGAGGAGGCATTCCACTAACCATCAGCTCAGCTGCCAAAGTATAATGGATGTAGCAGTTGGCCTGGAGGCTGGTTGGGTAATGGGAAATTTGGACCTGGAGCAAGGTCAGTGTAGACCTAAGTGGAAACTGAGTTATAAATACAGTTCAACCTAAGAGTTCAAGGACAGGGTTTCCCATCAAACTGTGCTCTCTCACTCAGATTCAGTCCTGGCTCTGTCAGTCACTTGCCAGCAATTTCAATAAATACATTTTGTTTTTAAATGGTGATGGGAGGAATGGGGAAGAACTGAGGAACCAGAGACAGCTGGCAAAATGTGAATGCCCTCTAGAAAACCTAACACACCAAACTGATGCCTCTTAGCCAGGGTTCGAGTATCCCTGGCACATATGGGGCAGACTTCTAAAGCATCATTTTACTCAATGGCAAGTGATTAGTGATTTTTAAAATGGAAAGTTATTAGGTCACATACAAAATTTTCATGATTGTTAAAGGAACTTTCCCCTTTGAACTGGGCTGCTCTGATTTACATTCCTATAATTTCCTTCCCCATTTCCCCAGGAAAACATTCACATGTGTCAATGGTTAGGGTTTTGAAGCTGCAAAATGTGAGCAGCATTCCATTAAACCCATTATCAGCCAGTAACACTGCAGCTTGAACTAGTATTTCAGACTAGCCTCAGAAAAGAAAATGGGCAGTGAGGAATGGGTCACAGGGATGAGTTTTGATTTGTAGAAAGAAAGAGTACAGAGGGCATCTCTTGATGGAAAGAAACGCTTGTGCCCTGGGTTTCCCAGAAGAAAGAAGGAAAGAGAGGAAAGGGATGAGGAGTATCAAAGATGCCTTCTGCCTGCACTGACCACCACTGCTGAGACACAGACTGGAGGTGAATCTATTCTGGAGGCTCTGTCTCAAACTGGTCCAGCTCCTTGTGCCCACCCAGAACAGACAGACAGTAGAGCCTTGCCTGAACCTAGGGGGCAGTTCAGCTGCATCTCTGACATAAGACTGAGGAACAACCAATATAGGAGCTAGGCCCGGGAAACAAGACAGAGCTCCCACTGTCTGAGTCCAAGGCGCACACATGGGGAGTTCTACACATCCCAGGGCACAGCCCTCAATAAACATACCTGTCTGAGCATGGATCGGAAAACCATGTATCGGAGTCGCTTGGTGAGGATCTCTCCAGCTTTGCCAAATGTGAAGCCCTGTGGGCAGGAACATGCCTTGTCAGAGACTCAGCCACCAATTACATAAAAGGAGGGAGAATTGATGTCTTTGCTAAAGCAGGAGATTAGACAAAGTCAGAAAGCCTGATTTCAAGGGCTTGCTGTTTCTGCGACTGTGTGCCATGGCACAAGGCTGTACAGGTGGTATAGACAGAAAAGCCCACTTTACAGAAGAAACTGAGGTTAAGAGAGCCTGATAAGATCCAAAGTCCACAGTTATAAGGTCGCAGAGTTGGAATCTTAATCCAGATCCATGAGAATCCTAACCAGAATGGGAACCCAGAGCCTGAGCTTTTAATTACCCACTGGACTCCCTCCCCATGTTACTAAGAAGAGGAGTTGGGTAGTCTAACATCTTTAGGCATTTTGCTATCTCTGGACTTCTAAGGTCCTATAATTCACAGACTTTGTTCTCACCTGTTTTCCAGGCAAGCTAGGTTCCAGTACCCCCAAGCACCATGATGTTATAAAGGCAGTCCTCTAACTTCTTTTGCTTCACCAATTCAAATTGTCAACATTTAAGGGACCAACTCAAAGCCTGCCTCACTCCAAGTTTCTTAACCAAATTTATATTGAGCAATCTTTACCTCCTCCAAACACCTGTGGTATTAATAGCTGGTATGGCAATCCTGTAAGTAGTTAGAGTGTCACAATTATTCTAGTAAGGACAAATTCCCCAGTGAGACTGTAAGTACTTAGTAAAGAAAGAATTCAGTCTGTTTTTTCTTTTCCCCCTTCTATAATGTCCAGAACAATATTCTATTTTTAAAAAACGTAATACATACTTACATGTTGAATAAAGAGATCTATTCACAGTTTTATCTTTAAAAATTACAGGGGGCTAGTCATTCAATTAATAAGTGATTACCTACTACTGCCTCACGCAGGCCTGGGCACTTGGTCACATGATCCTTTTAATTATCAAGAGGCAGGTACCAGAATCCCTAGTTTACAGCTAAAGAAATAGGCTTAGACAGTTTACTTATGTGCCCAAGGACACAAAATCAGAAACAGGTACAAGGAGCACTTGAACCAAAACCAACACTGTCTTATCATACTAAATAGTATTTATTTATTTATTTATTTATTTATTTAGAGACAGGGACTTACTCTGTTGCCCAGGCTGGAGTGCAGTGGCACGATCATGGTTCACAGTGACCTCCTGGGTTCCTGAGATATTTCCTGCTTCAGCCTCCTGAGTAGCTGAGACTACAGTTGCACACCACCACGGACTGTTAATTTTTGTGTTTTTAACGGAGACAGAGTTTCGCCATGTTGGCCAGTCCGGTCTCAAATTCCTGACCTCAGGTGAGCCACTCGCCTTAGCCTCCCAAAGTGCTGGGATTACAGGCATAAGCCACCAAACCAGGCCCTCATACTAAACTTTTAGAGTACTTAATTCCTTGCCATTTCATTTCAGCCAAATTTTCTGCAAGCTGTAAAAATCTGACTCTTTACAAATGTTTCCTACATTTTTTGTTAGAGGATTGACATTCTTCCATCATTGAAATGGTTCTTTCTTCTTGAACAAAAGTCAAGTGATAAACTCTTCAAACCCTTTTTAAACCCATGTGACCAGTTTATGGGGTTTTTGTTTTTTGTTTCTTTTAGAACACCAGTTTATGTTTTTTGTTTATTTTAGAACACGGGAAGACATTTCTTTGAGTATTTATATTTACTGGCAATACTTATATCCAAACTTATATCCAGGGCTCCCCCACACTCCATTTTTAAGTCCCTGCCTTTCACCTCCAGTCATCACATTAGGCCAAACACTCTGTTCCCTCTGGTTTCATTGCACGAGGTGAGGGTGGAGAGGAGAAGGTAAGCAAGGGAGACAGAGGAGGCAAACGTCGTTTTTCACCATATCAGAAAAACTTGGCTATTAGTATCCATGTTAATAGAAAAGTTCTACTAAAAGGCCAATTACATCGATGTTTATAAATCCCCCCAGTTGAATAATGATGCATTTCTCAAAATGAATATAGTGAAAATAGAGACATTTACCTGAAGGAAAAATGTAATAAAAGAAATAATTCCAAGGACTAGAAACAATAGTGAAAACAAGTTACTATTCTGTCGTTTTGTTTCAGGATCATCATTTCTTGTAAAAACCTGTAAGAAAACATTTAAAGGATTTTTAGTTCAATCAGTGAAGAACCCATCCTGGACCTGACCCATTTCCCATCTGGCCCAGTATTCAGGGGTCAGGAGAGCCACAGTACACTGGAAATCAGGGTTGGCTTTCCTATTGCCAGCCCTAAAGGTGTCTGCATTCTGCCTTCCGTGGAGGCCAGGATAAGTCTATCATTCATAAATTGATCCAATATTTTTTCTGCTCAGGTTCCCTCCTGGAGTCATGAGTGCCACTTCAACTGTGTAAAGTTGAAATCAGAACAAATACTCTCCTCTTCCCTTGGTTGGAACCACATTTACAGCAGTTCATTGCTTTACTATTTGGACATTTCAAACTGTCCTGAGGTGTCTGCAGAAAACCTGATGTGGTTTTTTTGGTGAACCACAGAGCAGTGGTCATTCACTCAGCCCAGGCCTTTCAAAAAGAAAGGAGTTTCCTTGAGCCTGCCTTCTTGGTAGGATGGCCAGTTAGAGAGCCAGTTGGAAACTGCAGCTACCTGACCTAGCACCATACATGAAATGTTTTCCAGAGATGGTTATAAGGGCTAATGGGATGTTTTGGACTAAAGGAACACAGAGAATAACCACTCCTCAGGGAAAGAAAACACTATCTCCTTCACAGTGGGCCAAAATCAGTCTTGTAAGACAGTCACATCCCTAGCCCAGGACAGAGAACTTTACCTTTCATAAAAAAACAGACAAACAACAACGACAAAAAGGATTTTTGAAAAGATTAAATAATTTTTTGACTAGTCAGTCCAACAAAAATCATAACAACTACTAAATTCTTACTCTATGCCAGGCATTATTCTAAGCAAATTCATATATACTATTCCTCTAATCCTGGCAATCATCTCCAGAATGGAGAATGATTTATTATCATCAGTTTTACACAGATAGAAACTGAAGTACAGAGAAGGTAATTAATTTGCTCAAGTTAACACAGTCAGCCAGGGATGACTCAAGGATATAAATCCAAGCAATCTGATGCAGAGCCCACTATCTTCAATGAGGCAGATATCCGGTTGCCTACTCAATATTTAAGAGCTAATATCCCAGCCCTGGGACACTTATCTCCAGACTTATTGTTATATGAAGAATGAGAAAAGTATTAAATCATAACTTGAGGTTTTTCTATAACCAAACCCATTCCTAACTTAACCACTGCCTTTTTTTTTTCTCTGATGATGCCACAGTCTACCCCTCCCCCCATCCCCTAAAAACCTGCAAGACATATGTTAGTGCAAGGATCAGCAAACTATGGGCCACTGGCCAAATGTTTACATAAAGTTTTAATGGAACATAGTCGTGTTTATTCATTTCCACATTGTCCTTGTGTACTACTAGGTCAGAGTTGAGTATCTGCAACAGAAATCATGTGGCGTGCAAAGCCTAAAATATTTACCATCTTACTGTTAATAGAAAAAGTTTGCTGACTTCTGCCCTGGACCATATACTCTACAGAATCAGACATTTGATCACATTCTAAGACTTTTTCTCAACAACTAGAAAAATATCTGGCACAAAGAAGACACAAAAAATAATTCCAGAGGCCAGGCATGGCAGCTCATGCCTGTAATCCCATTACTTTGGGAGGCTGAGGCAGGTGGATCACTTGAGGTTAGTAGTTTGAGACCAGCCTGGCCAACATGGTGAAGCCCTATCTCTACTAAAAATACAAAAATTTTAGCCAGGTGTGGTGGTGCAGGCCTGTAATCCCAGCTACACAGGAGGCTGAGGCAGGAGAATCGCTTGAGCCCAGGAGGCAGAGGGTGCAGTGAGCCAAGATCGCGCCACTGCACTCTAGCCTGGGCGAGAGTGAGCGAGACTTAAAAAATAATAATAATTCTTGAATATATTTAACATTAAACATGAATATCATTAAACATGAATTCATGAATGAATATATTAAACTGAAATAAGCTAGCCAGGCATGGGTAGACCTGAATAGTCATATATGTTTTGTAGAATCAAAAGCCAGTGTTTAGCTTATGCTTCTTGTGGTGATCAATCTCTTTCTCCACAATGTTTTCAGCAGTTACGGCAAGGGTGTCCTCAGCTTGATGTTTGGAAATATGTCACTAAACAGAGAGCTTCCTTTCAGATCGTAACTTTATTGCTGAAAATGCCACCATTAAGATGAGGTGGAACCAACATATGTCAATCTCAATCTTTAGGAAGCTGTTCCTATTTGTTTTAATCTTAGCAAGTGGGATGAAAATTACGTCTTACAAAAGTAGCATGCTAGGCCTGCTCATATCCTGGAAAATATGTACGTTAGAGAACAGTGCATTCTCAAGCCAGTCTGACCAACATTTGAGGAACTCTCTTTGCACATTGGTGAAATGAGAGTTCACAACGTTTGTTCAGAGTCCAGTGTTGGCAGGTATAAGAAAGTCATCTCATCACTTTCATTGACTATTTCAGGAAGCTGGTCCTTAGTTGCCCAGGCTAGAAACCAACTGTGACAACAAAGGAAGGTTCACAAAGTTAGCTTTCCTATCACAAACCAGACTTCCATTCTTACATCTTCAAGCCAATTAGTTTCATAAGAAGATAATGGATTTTGTTGCTTATGTATCCCAGTTCAAACACAGTTTATTCATTCATTCTTCCATCAGGACTCACAAGTAAATCACACAAATGGGCATTACACTTACCCCTATAATCTTTGAAAATATTACTGCAAATGCTGGTTGCAGACCTCCATTTATAATGGCACAAAATACACCAACAACAAAATAAGGCCACTCAGTTAAATTTAGCTTCATAATCCTCCAAAAGGAAACTGGAGGTATACTTTCATCCTAGGAAACACAAATTATTACAACAGTTAATTAAAAACTTTTATAATGTACAGTTCTTGCATATGCACAAAAATTTATAAAGGAATATATCCTATCCTTATTCCTTAAAAAGGAATAAGTGATGACAATTTTGCTTCAAAAAATGTCATAATGATTATTATTTAGCTTCAAAAAAATGCTGACAAATGTTGCTACAATATTCCCTTATTTTTTAAAAAATAAATGATGCTTCCACAAACAATTAACTTTTATTTGGTACTCAGAATCTGACAAGAGTATTTATAAGCAGGAATAAACACAATAGAAACTTTGATATTTGAAGACCCGCTATAGTCTCTTTACATTATAAATTTTAATTCTAAAAATTCTACTGTATAAATTAACACTCTTAAATTCTAACCTGATTCTAAAATGTTGACATCCTGGCCTGTGGAACATTCTAGGGGATAGGACAGGAGGATTCTGGATAGCCCTTTTTTGTTCCCACTCCTAACATAGCCCTAGCCCACCAAACTAGGGGAACCACAGTTGGTGAGATTAAAACAAACTCCTCATCCCCCTTCATACCAGAGCTTCTTTGGTACTAAGCTTTCTGTCTTGGCCTTGTGATCCACGGACACTCCTACGAGTGGATCTTTTTCTTATTAGACTGGATCCTGAATCATGTGAAGACATTTCCAAGGTATCAATTTCACTTTTGGATTCATCAACTGCATTTTCTAATTCAATTTCATTTCCTGCTGTCTAAAATAAACAAGAAATATGCATAAGCTCATTAGGCTGTGTTAACCAATGAAAGCTAATCACTGAATGTCAGTCATCAAGGAAAACAGTAATTTGTTTAGTAACTGCAGAAAAGGATAAAGCTAATCTGCTGGGCTGTTTTTTGTGTGTGTGTGTGTGTCTGTGTGTGTCTATATATGTGTGTGATATTTGGAAATGAAAACCACCAAAGAAGAATTCCCACTGTATATACTGAAATAAACTGGCATTCATTCCATGTATCTTATCTTCTCATGCCCTTTTTTGTGGGTGTTTTGACTCAATCAAGTTTACTCTGGATCAGTGCTGTCAACAGAAATATGGTGCAAGCCATGCTGTGAGCCATGTTATTTTAAATTTTCTGGAAGCCATGTTAACAAATGTAAAAAGAAAGAAGTGAAATCAATTTTAATGATATATTTTATTTCACCTAATATATCCAATATATTATTGATATCCTGTGATATCATTCCAATATGTAATCAATATAAAAATTGAGATATTTTGCATTTTTTTGCACTAAGTCTTCAGAACAAGGTGTGCACACTCTACTTAAAACATTCCAATTCAGATTCACTACTGTTTAAATGCTCTACAGGCACATGTGGCTACTGACTACTATAATAGATAACTCACCTTGAAAACTCTTAATTTTTTTATCTGTTTATCCTTCTTTATTTTCCCCTCTTTCAAGAAAGAAAAAAAAAATCTTAAACACTGTGTCGTTCTGAATCCCCCAAGTGTTGTTTCCTACTTTTTAAGATAATCAAATCAAATAATATTTATTTTTAGCATTAAATGCAAAATCAGTTTATCACTGAGATGACAGGAAAATTCTAAAGTTAAACTATACCTGCATTGTGACAAGTTTGAAGTAAATGCCTTTCTCTTTCATGAGCTCATCATGATTTCCTTTCTCCACAATGACTCCATCATCGAAACCAGCGATGACATCGGCATTACGAACCGTAGACAAACGATGAGCTATCACAATGGTGGTCCGACCTTTTCTGGCCTAAAGAGAGAGAAATTTGGTTTTTGAATACATTAACAATTACATGAAGAAACTTATCCGTTCAACATATATTTACTGAACCAATGCTGTGGGCATTGTAAAACCATCAAATCTATGTAAGATAGCCTCTGACTTCAATAAATCTATAGACAATTGATAATAGTTTAAAATGATGTTTTATTGTAATAAATAAAAATACAAATATACCAGTCACATATTAATATTATGTAAGCCTCCAATTATTTTATTTAACATAAATTTGCAGTAATAATTAGGGGCTTGGGCCTGGCACAGTAGCTCACACCTGTAATCTCAGCACTTTGGGAGGACGAGGCAGGCGCATCACAAGGTCAGGAGATCGAGACCACCCTGGCTAACACGGTGAAACCCCGTCTCTACTAAAAATACAAAAAATTAGCGGGGCGTGGTGGCGGGCTCCTGTAGTCCCAGCTACTTGGGAGGCAGAGCGTGTAGTGAGCCAAGATCGTGCCACTGCACTCCAGCCTGGGCAACAGAGCGAGACTCTGTCTCAAAAAAATAATATAAAAATAAAAATAAAATAATCAGGGGCTTGTACAAACCAACAAATTCCTACAGCGCAGGCATTGGTCAATCAAAACAAACACAGGCCATTGTGCTGTACTGGTACACACCAGCTAGTAATCAGCCCTAGGAATCATAATATCCTATCCCACATGACCCCCTGGATGAACAAGACAGACAATAAATGTGAGGCAGCAAAGTCCAGACCTCAGTGTCACACTAACCTGAAATAAATTTTTTTTTTTTTTTTTTTTTTTTTTTTTTTTTTTTTTGGGTGATCGCTCATCGCCCAGGCTGGAGTGCAGTGTGGGCTCAGCTCACTGCAGGCTCCGCCCTCCCATTCTCCTGCCTCAGCCTCCCAAGTAGCTGGGACTACAGGCGCCCGCCACCTGCCCGGCTAGTTTTTTTGTATTTTTAGTAGAGCGTTTAGCCAGGATGATCTCGATCTCCCAAACCTCCCGTCACAAGGCCCTCCCAAATGTGCTGGGATTACGAGCTGAAAATTACACTTGTGTAAATAAAATTTATGAATTTATTTTATTCAACAAAATATTTTATCCAAGGAGCCTGTGTAAGGCTTAATTTATTCATATGTAAAATGGGGATAATAATACTCTTTACTTCTTAGAGTAGTTGGCGATGACTAAATAAAATAATGCACATAAAGTACTCCAACACTATGCCTTATACAGTAAGTGCTTAATATAAGTGATACTTATTCCTAGGTAGAAGAATTATGCAAACAGTGAAGAGTCATGTAAGTCTCTTTTATTTTTACGAGAACAGAGCCAGATATCCAGGCCTTATCTAAGACTTCTCTAACCTTTGTAATTTTCCGAATGCTCATAATTTTTGTTACTCTGTATTTCTCTCCAGTAACTAGCAATACAATTCTCAAAATAACTTTCAACGTTTTCAGGATCAATAGGATAGTAGAAGTGAAAAACTTCAAAAGAAAAAAAATACACAAGAGAAAAATTAGGTGGTAGAAACTAGAAAATATACAAGAAAATAGATCAATTCTTTTGTATCTTTTTTAAGAAAAAGGGGTATCTATAGGAATTTCCCCTCAAGGTACACCTAGTATTTTAAAACATAACATTTTAAAATTGTTTTTATTCTAATTAATACACAATTTCTATAGATTAATGAGGAAACACAAGATAAAAGCAAACCAATAAGCAGTGGGTCACACCTGTATTGCTGGCACTTTGGGAGGCTAAAGGCGGGAGGATTCTCGAGCCCAGAAGTCTGGCAGGTCAGTCTGGGCAGAGATGGTAGGACCTCCTCTCTACCAAATATATCAAAAAAATAGCTGGTGGTTGAGCACGGTAGCTCACATCACAATCCCAGCACTTTGGGAGGCGAGGTAGGTGTATCACCTGAGGTGGGAGTTCAAGACCAGCGTGGGCCACATGGCGAAACCCTGTCGTTACTAAAAACACAAAAATTAGCCAGGTGTGGTGGTGCATGCCTGTAATCCCGGCTACTCAGGAGGCTGAGGCAGGAGAATGGCTGCCCAGGCCGGGAGGCAGAGGTTGCAGTGAGCCAAGACCCATCCCTGCACTCCAGCCTGGGCAACAGAGCAAGACTCCATCTCAAAAAAAAAAAAAAAAAAAAAGCTTATGGCATGGTGGCACACACCTGTGGTCCCAGCTACTCGGGAGGCTGAGGTGGAAGGATCACTTGAGCCTGGGCAGCAGAGATTGCAGTGGCCATGATAGGCGCCTGCAACTTCAGTCTGGTGACAGAGTGAAGAGAAGAGAAGAAGAAGAGAGGAGACAAGAGAGAAGAAGAAAAAGAAGAAAAGAAAAGAAAAACAGAAGGAAGGGAGGAAATTAGGGAGAGGGAAGGAATCTGCGGAGAGGGAAAGGAAAGAAAGAAAAGGAGAAGGAGGGAGAGAGAGGGAGGCGATTGAGGAGGGAGGGAGGGGAGGAAGGAAGGAAGGAAGGAAGGAAGGGAAGGAAGGAGGAAGGAAGGAAGGAAAAAGAAAGAAAACACAGAGGTAGGAAATCACAGATTAAGCAAAATGAGGGGGAAAAAGTAGCCACAATCCCATCTGCCTCTATTTTGGTCCACAGAATGTTTAGTAAGCTGCTTTTTCCTCCCTCAAGGAGTTTATTAAACACATTGACAGGATGTTTAAAGGAACATTCAAGAGTTGTTTTATTAGAGACAGGGGAGGATTGGAAACAAATATGAGTTCATCTTTGGAAATCTACTGTGACATCTCAACGGAACTCCTTTGATTTATGGATCTCCTCTCCACATTCTAGGTCCTCACAGAATTATCTCCATTACTATCACATGCTGGGATCAAGCCTTTAGTCTGGCACAGGAGCAAACACTCAAATGCTATTTGATGAATGAGTCATATGGACTCCAGAATCATGAACTTACAGTCAAACTCTGTTGATAGTCAGTAGCATGTAAGTGGTTTAGGTAGGTTTTCAGTATCAAGGCTCTCTGCCCCTCTCCTGGAAATAGAGGTTTCTTATTTTCCATGAAGTCTTCAAGTGGCATTCAACATCTTGAAAATTGTGTATCGAACCTTCAGATTTGTATTTTTCTCTTCCTGGCAATATTACAAACTCTCCGGCAAAATAACAGGTTATCCACTTAGTCAAGTTTTGGAGATCGTGAAGATGAATTTTCACTGGTATCTATATTTCTATTTTAATTTAAAGATTAGCAAATGTCTTTAGATGAAAAGATGAAAATTTATTCATCATCACTTAAAATAAGATCAGAGAAATAAGTATAAATTGAACAATAAAACAAACAAATAGAAAAAGATTTCGAAGAGGCCTAATGCTTTTATTTTAATAGCTGAAGGAATCACCTAGAAGCTATCATAAATTTCATTTTCTAAGACCAATATTAACAAGAATTAATAGTAGAATATTCTTATGCTTATAAATCAGGTTGGTTTGAACTAAGCCTCACTGTTATCAGAGCCACCTGAACCACTGCCTTCACTTTCTGTGTCCAAGGCCCCAGCGTGGCCTCATCCAGCAGGAGGATCTTGGGGTTGCAGACAGGAGCACGTGCAATGGCGATCCTCTGCTTCTGCCACACTCAGCCCTGGGCCCCTCTCTCTCAACAAGGTGTCAAATTTCTACAGAAAGCCCAGGATGATTTAGCATAAGGACAAGCTATCTCAGCTCCTTATTTTAAATAAGGAATCCCATACACAACCCAAGTCACAGGTAATACAGGTCCAGTTCTTTAAGTCTTATTGCTTCAATAATAGCATCAGTTTTTAAAAATGTGTCTACGACCAGTTGATACTGCTAGAACTTTCAAATCTGAGGTAATCTTATTTTCCTTCTTAGGATTCTCTTCCTCCGATTTATAGTAGTTTCCTAACTTCCTATGTAGTAGGCCTGCATTTTATTTTTTGCACACCTCTAGAAGGCAAAAGGGCAAGGACAACTTACATGAGGCAGTTTCATGAAGTAGTCATAGGCATTGGCTTCCTTGACAGCTATAATCTCATCCATGATCTTCGACCATATGAATGTTTCAGCTATCAGTGGTGGCAAACAATACAGGTTCCACAAACTCCACCCTGAGTTTCCCATTAGAAACCCATTTATGGTCCTAATATCCTGTCCATCAACACTGACCTGGAATAAAAAGTAAGTGTGACTTTCCTTCATTGTAGTTGAAAAGATACAACATCAGAAGAGATGTGCAATGTAGTGGCAGTCATGGGGTCACAAGCTCAACATGGAGGTCATCTCACCATGCCCTCTGTGGGGTCATAAAGCCTCTCATCAGTTGGACATTGCCATTGCTCTTCCCGGCCGCTCTGGCATTTCCAACCAGGGCCACCGTCTGCCCACTCTGCACCTTCAGGTTCAGGCCCTTCAAGATCTACCAGGGCGAGTGAAAAAACTTTAAGGTAATTTCACAGACAGGGTATGTAAGATTTGACCGTTCAATAATAAGGTTTAAATATACTTACACTTTTAAAAAAAAATAATCTCTACAAGAAAACATCAAACTTTTCATTCAATGGTTTGGTGTTGAATAATCATTTATCACACTGTACCTTAACTTCTTCAGATGGAGTAACTAGTGAACATTTCTGATTCCAAATTTCCATAATATTATCTGGTTTGTGCCCACTCTTGAATAGCTGTCAATATTGGCTAAACAGAATCAAATTTTGCACCAAAGAAATTACTAGGTTACAATAACTACTTTTAGTGACATTTTGTGGAAAGCTGGATAAAAGTGACAAAGGAAATTGACTCTTAACTGGACAATCTTTTAGACAGATGGATAAATGGCCAACTCAGACTTACACATTATGTTATCTTGAAGATTTCATAAGCTGCTCCTCTGCATTTGTTGCTTCAATGCTTGGAGATGCCTGTCCAACACTAAAAGCCCCAATTAATACAGAAAAGAGGCTAATGCCTGAGAATGTGAAGAAAAAACATCAGGCTACTTAGATAGTATTAGCAATTTTTTCATACTTCTGTCTTTTCTAACATAGGTAACTAAAATTTAAAATGGCGAGGCAACATATAAATATTAGGTGTTAAAAATATTTTAATAGTTTGAAACTAACAGTACATTTAATTCCCACTTTTCTGTTTTTTCTTTTTAAGAGACGGGCCTCACTGTCACCAGAATGGAGTGCAGTGGTGCAATCAGAGCTCATTATAACCTCTACCTCCTGGGCTCAAGCAATCCTCACAGCTCAGTCTCCCATGTAGCTGGACTACAAGCATGCATCATCAAATCAAACAAATTTTTTTATTTTTTTCTAGAGACAGGGTCTCACTGTACATCCCAGGCTGGTCTCCTGGCCTCAAGCAATCCTCCTGTCTCAGCCTCCAAAAGTGCTGGGATTACGGGCATGGTACTACACACCCCAGCCAAGTAGGTTCAAATGTGTCACACCTCAAAGAGTGTCAAGTGAGGTGATGGATATGATAATTAATGATCTGATCACTCCACATTTTGTGTGTATGTGTGTATATATAAACATCAAATTGTACTCCACAAGTGTAATGCAATTATGATTTGTCAATTAAAAAATAGCAAAAAAATTTTTTTTAAAAAATTTTAAGACAAGTCTTAGCATTGCCCAACCTGGAGTGCAGTGGTGCAATCTTGGTTCACTGCAACTTCAACCTCTTGAGTTCAGACAGCCCCTCCCATCTCAGTCTCAGAAGTAGCTGGGACTATGAATAGATGCTACATATCTGGCTAATTAAAAAAAAAAAAAAATTATAGAGATGAGATCTCACTATGTTGCCCACACTAAAAATATTTTAGAGTTTAAATGCTTTTCAATTTAGAATGCAGAATTGATCTTACTTGCTCAATAAAATAACGATTTAATTTTGCTAGGGCTAGAATGTTATAATAGGATATTTTTTTATTTCTTCAAGGTTTTATTTTTTTGAGACGGAGTCTCGCTCTGTCGCCCAGGCTGGAGTGCAGTGGCCGGATCTCAGCTCACTGCAAGCTCCGCCTCCCGGGTTTACGCCATTCTCCTGCCTCAGCCTCCCAAGTAGCTGGGACTACAGGCGCCCGCCACCTCGCCCGGCTAGTTTTTTTTGTATTTTTAGTAGAGACGGGGTTTTGCCGTTTTAGCCAGGATGGTCTCGATCTCCTGACCTCGTGATCCACCCGTCTCGGCCTCCCAATGTGCTGGGATTACAGGCTTGAGCCACCGCGCCCGGCCAACCTGAAATAAATTTATGAATTTATTTTATTCAACAAAATATTTTATCCAAGGAGCCTGTGTAAGGCTTAATTTATTCATATGTAAAATGGGGATAATAATACTCTTTACTTCTTAGAGTAGTTGTGATGACTAAATAAAATAATGCACATAAAGTACTCAACACTATGCCTTATCCACAGTAAGTGCTTAATAAGTGATACTTATTCCTAGGTAGAAGAATTATGGAAACATTGAAGAGTCATGTAAGTCTCTTTTATTTTCACAAAGGAACAGAGCCAGATATCCAGGCCTTATCTAAGACTTCTCTAACCTTTGTAATTTTCCGAATGCTCATAATTTTTGTTACTCTGTATTTCTCTCCAGTAACTAGCAATACAATTCTCAAAACCAACACACAACGTTTTCAGGATCAATAGGATAAGTAGAAGTGAAAAACTTCAAAAAGAAAAAATACACAAGAGAAAAATTAGGTGGTAGAAACTAGAAAATATACAAGAAAATAGATCAATTCTTTGTATCTTTTTAAGAAAAAGGGGGTATGTGGAATTTCCCCTCAAAATTTACACCCTAAAGTATTTTAAAACATAACATTTTAAAATTGTTTTTATTTCTAATTTAATACACAATTTCACTATAGATTAATGAGGAAACACAGATAAGCAAACCAATAAGCAGTGGGTCACACCTGTAATGCTGGCACTTTGGGAGGCTAAGGCGGGAGGACTGCTCGAGCCCAGGAGTCTGAGGTCAGTCTGGGCAAGATAGTGAGACCTCCTCTCTACAAATATATCAAAAAATAGCTGGTGGTTGGGCACGGTAGCTCACATCTGTAATCCCAGCACTTTGGGAGGCCGAGGTAGGTGTATCACCTGAGGTCAGGAGTTCAAGACCAGCGTGGGCCACATGACGAAACCCTGTCGTTACTAAAAACACAAAAATTAGCCAGGTGTGGTGGTGCATGCCTGTAATCCCGGCTACTCAGGAGGCTGAGGCAGGAGAATCGCTTGAACCCGGGAGGCAGAGGTTGCAGTGAGCCAAGACTGTCCCACTGCACTCCAGCCTGGGCAACAGAGCAAGACTCCATCTCAAAAAAAAAAAAAAAAAAAAAAAAGCTTGGCATGGTGGCACACACCTGTGGTCCCAGCTACTCGGGAGGCTGAGGTGGAAGGATCACTTGAGCCTGGGCAGCAGAGATTGCAGTGGCCATGATGGCGCCACTGCAACTTCAGTCTGGTGACAGAGTGAGAGAAGAGAAGAGAAGAGAAGAGAAGAGAGGAGACAAGAGAAGAGAAGAGAAGAAAAAAGAAAAGAAAAAGAAAAGAAAAACAGAAGGGAAGGGGAGGGGAGTCGGGGAGGGAAGGGAAGGTACGGAGAGGAAAGGAAAAGAAAGAAAAGAAGGAGGAAGAGAGGGAGCGATTGAGGGAGGGAGGGAGGGAAGGAAGGAAGGAAGGAAGGAAGGAAGGAAGGAAGGAAGGAAGGAAGGAA